CCATAGGTGGTTGTCGTGTGGAGTTGCCTGAGGGTGTTGGTGAGAGAGAAGTTCAGTTATTTTGTGCTGTCAACTACAACGGCTTGCTGCGTTTTCCTCGTGCATGCATGAAGCAGATAGAAGCAGAAGATAAAACAGCAGCAGCAGCAGCAGCAGCAGCTGCAGCAGCAGCAGCAACAGCAACCAATACACCCTCGCCAGAAGTTCCAGGGGCGTCCGATACAGAACAACAGCAGCAGCAGCAACAGCAGCAGCAGCAGCAGCAGCAGGAAGGACAGCAGCAAGATGCTGCAGCAGGAGATGCAGTTGGTTCTGCTGGTACATCTCCCTCAACTGCTGCAGCAGCAGCAGCAGCAGCAGCAAAAGTGAAAGTAACAGAGCTGCCTGTACACCCCGTGGTGTATGCTGGTCGTCTATCAGCAGAGAAAGTTCGGGTGTATAGGGAGCTCGAACTACAGATGGATAACGAAGACCGTATATACAAAGAAAAACAAGAAAAGTTAAATGAATTAGAGACAACAATATATTCTTTGCGTGATGGTATGAGTATAAACTCAACATTAAATAAATATGCAACAGAAACAGAAAAAGAAAAAATAAATAAACTACTCGATCAGCTAGAAAACTGGGTGTATGAACACCAACAAGACCCTCAACTCACAAAAAGTTCAGTTGTAGATAAATTAAACTCTATTAACGCTCTTGCTGCACCCATACAACACAGACAGCAGCAGCAGCAGCTTAGAGCTGCTGCTGCTGAGAAACTTGCTGCTGCTGTTCAGGTATTTCTATATTTTATTATAAACCCTAAACCCTAAACCCTAAACCCTAAATTTATTTTTTAAGAGTAAACACTATACACACGGAACACAGTTTATACACACTCAATAACAAATACACTAAACCCTAAACCCTGAAGCAAATACCCTAAACCACAAAACCCTAAACCCTAAACCCTTATCTTCTTTCCCTTCAATACCTGGAGAGTTTATACATATATATATATATATATATATATATATATATATATATATATATATATATATATATAT